TTTGGGATTATTTCTCATTCCTTACCAATTTTATCATACAGGAAGAAAAGAAATCCAGCAAAGAGTACGAGCACATAAACAAGGCCCAGAGCCATTTCGATAAGCAGGTCGTGGATGCCGGGACACAGGAGCAAGCCCTGGAAGCCCCTGCCCCTGCCAACACGGAGGAGGACGAGGACAACAAAATGGAGAACGAGGAGGAGATGATGGATACTCCCATGGAGGTACGGAGTCTTCATTATTTTTTACTTTAATGTTTTCAGTGTGTGTATGTGATAATAGGACTCTATCGTGATTGATTTATATGTATATTTCGCTATATATTTTCTTGCCTTTTTTGTAGTGTATAAATGATGAGTTAAATAAATGTTGAACATAACAGGACAAGGTAGAAAATGTAACTAATAATTTCTGCAGGTTGATGAGGAGCTAGGTGAGGCTGAAGACGAAAAGGAAGCACTGGGACAAGACAGAGAAAGAAACGAAGGCAAGGACAGAGGCCAATCGCAGCCTGACCCGCAGGGAGAAGATGCCAAGGTGGAAACGGAGGGGGAGATCATCCTTGCGGCTACTGTGGAGCGCGCACCGGAGAGTTTCATCCACACCCTCTTAACAGATGGTAAGAATCAAGAATCTGGGTGGCAGACAGCGGCATGCGGCTGTCTGTGTAGATACATGTAAATTGCTGATTCGTACTTCTAACTTTAGTTTTCTTTTGATACTCATGAATTTCAGCTATATCCTAATATGAATTTTCTGATACATGATTCTATTACTATTTTTTTTAAAGATGCATTTGAATTCTGATGCGCATTTCTAATACTACTTTTCTTTAGATACTTACGAATTTCGGTACCTCCTAGTAAAATATGTTTATTTTATACATCCGGTACGTGTTCATAATTCTACTTCTATTTTGTCTTATAGAAAATGAATATGAAGAAGGAGAAGATGCATACACATTTAATGAGAATGAAGAAGAGACAAGACAGGATATCGAAACTGCTACTGCTGTACAGACCGAAGACAGTGATGCAGCTTGGACGAAGCACGAAGCCCGTGTGGCAAACATGGCATTGCAGTTGTGCGAACAGTTGCGTCTCATTTTAGAACCAACACAGGCTGCTAGATTACGTGGAGACTACAGAACGGGAAAGAGATTGAACATGCGTAAAGTAATACCGTATATTGCATCTCAGTTTAGGAAGGACAAGATCTGGCTTAGAAGAACGCAACCCAGCAAACGAACATACCAGATAATATTAGCAGTGGACGACTCCGAGTCCATGGCTGAAACACGAACAAGTACTTTAGCAACCGAGAGCGTGGCTTTAGTAACGAAGGCGCTCACACTCCTAGAATCCGGTGAAGTAGGTGTCCTCAGCTTTGGAGCTTCAACAAACGTCTTGCACCCATTAGGCGATACCTTCAGTGACGAGTCGGGAAGCCGCATTTTAGCCAACTTAACATTCGAACAGAAAATGACAAACTTTGGTAAACTCTTAGAAGATGCTGTGGCCATTTTCAAGGGAGTGAAGAGATACAGCTCCCATGGAAACCCAGACACCGCCCAGCTGCTTATCATCCTAAGTGATGGTCAGACTCACACCAGGGCAGAACAGGTCAAAGCGGCAGTTAGAAGAGCAAGATTAGAGAGGGTCTTCATAGTCTTCATTGTTCTTGATGCAAAGGATAGCCAGTATTCTTTCTATGATATCCTCGTGTATGAGAAAGGTGAGATGCGTCCGCTAGTGGAGACCTTCCCCTTCCCCTTCTTCTTGGTGGTGAGGGATCTGGAAACTCTGCCGCAAGCTTTGTCAACCGCACTTCGACAGTGGTTTGAGCTTGTTACAGCAGATGCGAAGCATTGATGTGTTACGTTTAGAGAAATATGATAGCGTGTTTATTTATGAAGAATTATTATTTTTGTTGAACTTTTGTAATCTGTTACAATGAATGTAAATGTTACAAATGAGTATGTAGGGATGTAAATGTTATAAATATTAGCCTAATTTATAAGAAGTAAATTCTTATATAATGACAAAGAATGTAAAATATTCAGTAGTCTTATTGTCCCCAATATAACTTTATATTGACTACCATTTATTTTCAAGATTCATAAAAAGTTACTCAGGGACTAGTCTGTCGCGAAAAAATGTGAAAAGGGTTATACACAAGCTAAATCAGCTTTTATATCTTCAGTTTTTGAGATCGACATCAAATAATACTGTCAATTAAATGAATGGAAAGTACGTCAGCATAATACGTAGAATAACTGGCAGGAACCCCTTCCAAATTAGAACATAATTTTTGTACTGTTAATTTGAAGTGTTAGTTCCTGGTGCGGGGGGCAGCTTTAATGATTTACCTTATACTTATCATTCTAAGTCCCAACATAGAAATTCGCGAATTGGTGACGCTTTCTAGCAGTTACTAAAATATGAACTATTGCGTAATTATGGTAATTTTTTTCTATCATTTAATATTTATGAAAAACAGGTGATCAAATGAGATTCTCTTGCCTCGTGCGAAACGAATACACTTGCGCTGACGTTGCAAATCACACGGTAGCCAGCACTCAACAGGGAATCTAATGTGTTTTTGCTTGTGGTGAATTTATAAGATCCTAAAATCTTGATCCATTGTAATAAGCTATCTGGCAATGATATTGGATTTTACAGAGCCTTAATTTGAAACGAGTACTTACAATTAGTACACACTTGACAATTATGTTAATCACAGATTTGCGCCATTTGTGAATTTCATTTCTTGATATATACTAAGGTCATAGATGGCAAGGAGGTGGGATCACGGAAGAGGTATGCCACCCCCCCCACACACACACAATTTTAACACCAGGAGAAATTAAGTCGAATATCTAGTTATAAAGTACTTATGGTAGTGATTCAGTACCTCAGAGTTGCGACCTAAAATTCTATCTGCAGAACAATGGGACCCACATGCTTACATTAATGGTCGTAAGGAATGTTAATGACTTTATCTACAGCTCTATAGCTCAAAACTTATGATATCAGATTTATTATTTTTCAAAACTCGGACATATCACAATAACTTTACCATACAACAGGCCCATCTGTCAGTTGAAAAAAAAACGTAAAAAGTAACTTTCATAAAAGAGCAGATAATTGAAATTCTGTTCATTGCCAAATAAAAGCAATCATTATTCATGACGGTAAACCTGTCGCGTAAATTATACAGGCGCATGATTGCAAAGAAAAAATGTTAGTTTGTAATGAAATAGTAGATTCAACAGAAATACTAAAAATACTCGAGTCCATGATATATTCAGTTGTAAACAAAGGTAATATGTGCTCCCTTTGACGACAGTAACTCCAAATTTAGAAAAATCCTATCTTGAGAGAGAGAAAAATGCTTCAGTAACCAGAAATCGTTTTAATAATAACCCGAATACTATTCCGTCCTCCTCGGGTTCATCTGCAACAAGAAACTATCAATAAAATATGTTCTCCCTTTCTAACGTAAACAAAGAAGGTGGCACACAACTTTACGGGAACACAGGGGTTCCTCGCAATGGCTCCAACCACAAGGTACCTTTGGGTGTTGGAGCCAGAGGGGAGGGGGCGGAAGTGAGTTATAACCAGTTATAACGAGTGCATATACGAGTAGAGGATTGGCCAATCTATACTGATGTAACATGGGCGTATGTAGTGACTGATTTTTTGCTATAGTTATAACGAGTGCATATACGAGTAGAGGATTGGTCAATCTATACTGATGTAACATGGGCGTATGTCCACAGCGCGAGTGACTGATTTTCACCCCTATGAACCTGTTGCTTTACTGGTACAAGGATGACATTACTTACTGAATGTTGGTCTATTATGGGTTCTTATTTTTTCTTCATTTCCTTTACAAAATGATTTTTAAATTGTGTAAAGCTGACTTTTCAACTTTTGTGAAGTTATGTGGAAAATATGATGCGATTTCGACGTCTAATATCGTATAAATAAACTTAAAAGAGCTCGGTAATGTATGAAAAATTATGAATTTCGAAAAATGGTACACAAATAATTTTCAATTAAGGGACAATTACGGGACAAATGTGAAAATCCCACTCAAAAATGCCTACTATCGAGTTTATAATTGGTATGGCTACATCTGCTGTGATTTTAGTTTATTAATTTTGTTGATATAAAATGGCAGTACAATGCATTGCGACCCAATCCAGTTCCGAACCTAACCTATCTCACCCGCCTACCCTTTTTCTTGATTTTTGGAAATATATATATATTTTTATTACCAATATCATTATTTATAACATTATGATAATTATAAAGTCAGTAACAGTAATAGTAATAATTTTATGAGCAGTAACGTTCTTTCCCAAAAAATCAAGGAATGGGGAAATTACATACGGCCTACCTACAGCTATCAGTTTGGAGGCTGAGCACCTGTGGAGCCATCGATGTGCAAAAAAGAAAAAGAAAAAAAATAAAACGTTATATGTGGGTAGTTTACACGCGATCCTAACTATCATTTTGTACATATATATTTTTCCCTGGACGACGCCAATTTAAATTATTAGGGCATTACATCGATGTACATTAGGGCATAAAAAGAGAAAAGCATAAGTAAATTCATGAAATGAAGAGTAACATTGCATTGCAACCATTACAAGAAAAAGAAGATTAAAAAAACTAGCTTCTGAAAAAAACCTGCTGGGCTGCTTTTGGTAGCAAACAGTTCCTCAGATATGAAACCCTAAAATCGCGTTTTCGAGTAACTGAGAAATCGCTCAGAATCCGTCTTAGCGATGTTGCGCGACGCTGTTTTGCCCATTATATTCAATGAAGCCGCAGTGCAGTTTAGTACAATGAGATCTGTGAGATTTGTGCAATCTGCCCCATTGCCTCCGTACAGCATATAAAACAAAGACATTGTGATAATAAACCCAATTCCTATTTTCCATTTTATTTTTTCTCTGTAGCGAGAGGGCACGAACAGATGCTACCTCTACC